ATGGCTGAGAAAAATAAATGCCAAACTTGTAATAAAGTTACCGGAGCAAAGGACATACTACATTGCAGATTTTGTTGCTCAGCAGCTGTCCATTGGAGATGTATTGGCATGTCTGATTCAACTATGAAGGAGCTCCAGCAACCTAATAATTTTGTATGGATGTGCAACAGTTGCATTGGGCAAATTGAACTATTCAGATTAAACAGTCAACTGAATGAGATGTCTGTTGAAATAAGGAAGTTACAGGAGAGCAATGCCAAAATCAGTGATCAAGTTAACTATATACAGGACAAACTTGACAGTGGTGAGATTGATAATAACTTTGGTGACAAAATAACGACACTCCAGGAGAATCTGAAGAAATCTTATGCAGATACCCTGAAGGATGTGGTAGTCGCAAACGTTGTGAAGGTTAATAACAGGGTAACTAACATGAACGATGGTATCCAAGCATTAAAGGTGGAGGTCATAAAGACGAAGGAAACAATTCAGTCCATCAGTGAAATTGAGGAAAGATCATGCAATTTGATAATCTTTAGATTGAAAGAAAATGTTGATCTGAGTGTTAGTGATGGCAGAAGGGAGGATGATGAAAACATTTCACGTATCCTTGGAACAATATTAAAGGACAAAGTTGATAAATTTGATGTTGTTAAACAGTTTAGACTGGGCAAAAAAACCGAGAAAACCAGACCGCTGCTTGTCAGGCTGAAGTCTAAGTCTTTGAAAAATTTGATTATGGAAAACTTGTCAAATCTGAAGAATCTTGATGAAGATTTGAGGGGGATCAGCGTCGGGCATGACTTGACAAAGGAGCAGAGAAATGATTGTAAAAAAACTGATTGAGACTGCAAGAGAAAAGGATAAAGATAGAGCAGATAAACAGGATTTTGTATACCGAGTGACTGGGGAACTGGGGAACTTGAGAATAAGACGACTACCAAAGAAATCGACTTTTGCGATGTCAAAAGTGGAAAAAATTATAAATTAGATGCTGATGGCTTTGGTAGTGTTAATGGTGATGCTGACGAAACTTTATCTGTTGATAATGATCTTAAACTTACTGTTCATTTGGGTTTGTTAAACATTAGATCTATATTATCCAAGTTTAATGTAATTTTTGGTTTAATCTCTGAAGGATTGGATATATTTGTTGTTGCAGAGACCTGGCATGGATCTTCTGACAGCCTATCAGTGGGATTATCGTTGCCTCCGGGTTATCGTTTTATAGATGCGGTTAGGGCTGGTGATCCTTTCCATGGAGGTTTGATAATATTTCTTGGACCGTCTTGCAAGTATAGACGGATTGTTGTGCCTACAGTCACTACGTTTGAGGTTTTAGCAGTTAAACTTATTATTGATCGACAGGATTTTATATTATTGGCTGTGTATCGACCGGGTTCGGTTCAACCTCCGGTGCTGTTTTTTAAAGAGTTAACGGTTGTTCTTGATAGTATAACGGTTTTGAATTCTAGGATAGTACTGGCAGGAGATTTCAACATTCATGTTGAAAGAGGTAGTGACACTCACGCGGCGACTCTGGGGGATATATTTGAAAATTATTGTTTAGTCAATCACACAAAGGAACCAACTCATATTCTTGGTGGCACACTTGATCTAGTGGTCACTTCAGTAGATTTTCCAGTTATAGACTGTTCGGTCCATCCTAGTGGTGTTTATTCTGACCATAGCTTTATTCGAGTAGCTTTGTCAATTACTCGTAACCACTCTTTTAATATTTGCAAAAAAATCAGATCCTGGAATCGAATGGACAATGACGGCTTTACTAGAGTTTTTTTGGAATCCGCGATATCGAGACCTTGCATAAGTGATAACCTTGACGCTGAATTTCAATTGTTTCTCAATGAATCTCTACGAATTGCTGGTGTAATTGCACCTGTTCGAACTGTCTTGACTAAACGGGATCGTGTTGCCCCATGGTTTGATGATGAGTGTTATCGTTTGAAGCGATTATGCAGGAAAAAAGAACGAATTTTTAGAAGGAGTCATCAATCTATTCATCGAGAAGAATGGAAAAGAGCTTTAGATGAAAAATCCAGGATATTTGGTGATAAACGCAGTCAATACTGGACCGTCATTGTCAATGATAACAAAGGTAATCCTAAGAATCTATGGAGGGTAATAGATAAGATCCTTTGTAGAGGTAATAAGGACAGCATATGCTATGATGCTGAGCGGTTAACTGCAGATCAGTTCATGAATTTTTTTGTGGAAAAATTATCTAAAGTCAAGGACGGATTGGCGCCCTCAGAAAGGCTGGATGTCATCGCAACTGGGGTTCAGTTTAAAGAACTATCAACATTTACTGCTGTGACTGAGGATGATGTTATAAGCATGATACAAAGTGCACCAGCTAAGTCATGTCAACAGGATATTTTTCCGACTGATGTTGTAAAGAGATACGTTAACCTGTTCACTCCGTTTTTAACATCTTTGATCAACTTATGCTTAAAATCTGGTCGTTTTCCTCAGGCGTGTAAACACGCAATTGTGCTTCCTATTTTGAAGAGGAGTGGTATGGATGCTAGTGATATCAATAACTATAGACCGATTTCTAACCTCAATTTTATTTCGAAGATTATTGAACGTATGGTTGCTAGACAAATACTTGATCATCTAAGGTGTAACAATCTGCTACCCTACAATCAGTCGGGATTTAGACAGTACCACTCGACTGAAACAGCATTATTGCAGGTCCATTCTGAACTTTGTATGGCAATGGATCAACAAAAGATATCACTCCTTACGTTTTTGGATATGAGTTCCGCTTTTGACTGCGTTGATCACAGAATTCTTCTTGATAGGTTGCATTGTAACTTTGGTATTTCTGGTGTGGTTTTGGAGTGGATGGAGTCATATCTAGTTGGTAGAACTCAGCAGATTTCGTTTGGTGGAAAATTATCTGATATTACCACAGTTATTTTTGGTGTTCCTCAGGGGTCAGTTCTTGGACCATTGCTATTTCTCGTATATACGTCTAAGGTCTTTAAGGTTATTGAATCATTTGGCTTCTCGAGTCATGCCTTTGCAGATGATATTCAGATAATAGTCAGTGGTTCACCTAGCTCATTTCAGGCTGAGCTGGATGGCCTGGTGGACTGTCTGTTGGCGGTTAATTTATGGATGTCAAAAAATGGCTTAAGGTTGAATCAAAATAAAACTAAATTGTTGCCTGTTGGAACATGGCAACAGCTGTCCAGATTAGATGCTGATTCAATTTTTGTCAATGACGTGGTAATTCCATTCTGTGATAAGGCAAAGAATTTGGGTGTCATATTTGATTCAAACTTGTCGATGAAACAGCACTTCAAAATGCTCTCTAGAGATTGTATGCTACAGATTAGAAGGATTAACTAAATTCGCAATTCATTGGACGTTTCCACACTGCAGACTTTGGCTCATGCATTTGTCCATTCGCGAATTGATTATTGTAATAGTTTGTTTTATGGATTACCCCTGAGGTCTACTGCGATATTGCAGTCTCTACAGAATCGTATGGCAAAAGTAGTGGTTGGTGGTTTACGGTATGATCACGTGACGCCCATAATCAAAAGTTTGCATTGGTTGACAGTTGATAAAAGAATAATCTACAAGATATCAGTCTTGTTGCATAAATCAATGAATGGCCTGACACCAGCATACTTACAGGATAAATTTAAAAGGTACTCAGTAGATTCTTATGGGTCTGGTCTAAGATCGTTTTTTGCGAATCTGTTAAAAGTTCCGACTTCCAATCTATGTATTGGTTCACGTAGTATTGCGGTTTCTGGACCAACTGTCTGGAACAGCCTTCCCGTTCATCTCAGAGATCCAGGATTGTCCATTACTCGCTTTAAAAAAGAACTTAAAACATTTTTGTTTTCTTATGAGAGATGATGTATGTATGTGTGTGTGTGTGTGTGCGTGGGTGGGTTTGTGTGTGTGTGTGTGTGTATATATTTAATTTCTTTTGATTTAAAAACGGTTTTATTGTCTTGCCGATTGATGCTTGTTTTTTTTTATTAGATAGTCATCTTATATATCGGTTGTTTCTATTTATTGTTTTTCATTTCTGACTACGTATTATTATGTATTATCATCTACCGTCGGATTATTGATTTATCCATATTTCATGTTGTGTCTAACGTTGAGTTCGCTTTGAAGTTTATTTAATTGGCGTTACATAAACTCTTGTTATGATATATGTGTGTGTGTGTGTGTGTGTGTGTGTGTGTGTGTGTGTGTGTGTGTGTGTGTGTGTGTGTGTGTGTGTGTGTGTGTGTGTGTGTGTGTGTGTGTGTGTGTGTGTGTTAAGAGTTTTTTCCATAATAGCTGATTTATATATGTGTCTTTTTTCTTCACTGGATTTCAAAATGGTTTGATTGTCATGACAGTCGATTTTTTATTTTTGATATTTGTTTATCACCTTATATCAATTGTCTCTGTTTTTTGTGTTTCGTCTTGGGTATTTGATTTTGCTTATTATTATGTATTATCCTCTAACTATTGATTTTTGATATGTTTAATGTGTGAGAGCGCTTTTGAATTTTATCTAATTAGTGCTACATAAATTATTGATATTGATACATGCTTTTGAGAAATATTTTTTTGTTTGTAATTAGCGCTATACAAATTTTCGAATAATAATAATACATACATACATACAAATATACACACATAAAGAAAAAGCTTTTTTTTATATCGGCCATTTAAATTTTTTGTAAAAAAAAAAAAAAAAAAAACAAATTTTCATCATTTAGATTTTTGAACGATATTGCGCGCTGTTAAAATACATAGCCATCTTTATAATGAATGTTATCATTAAACATTTTTATGAATTGTTATATCATGGAAAGATTTATAATATATTTATTATTATTATTTATCATTATTATTGTTGTTGTTGCTGCTGCTGCCGTTGTTGTTGTTATTGCTGTTGTGTTGTTGTTGTTGTTGTGTTGTTTTTGTGTTGTTGTTGCTATTATTGTTATTGCTGCTGTTGTTGTTGTTTTTATTATTATTGTTATTATTAATTTACACTCATATCAGTTGAGAAAAATAAATAAATTAAATTTGGCTGTCATATTATTTTGTGGCCATTCAACTAAATACAACAAAGACACAAAGAACAAAGACACAAAATTTTGTTTACCTGGCTAAAGATAGATTCAACGAATTACGTCAGCATAGATATATCAGTAAAAAAAATTATTATTATTCAATTGTCGTTGTATCCCTATAAGATTTTGTTTAGAAACTTAACAAATATATTTCATTATTACTTACTAAATTATAATTAATATTATTATTCTTGTTGTTATTATTAATATTACTATACTGTTTATTATTATTATTAATAACTAATATTAATTAATTTATGAAATTTGAATTCTATTTTTGATAAGAATTTCTCGAATGATAATAATTTATCGTACTTTTTAACTGTGCTATTTGGTTAAAATGTAATACAAATGTCTGTTTGTAACGTAGAAAATTTTGATATAAATTATGATACAAATTATGATGCAAATTATGATACAAATTATGATACCTATTATGATGTAAATTATGAAACAAATTATGATGCAAATTATAATGTAAATTATGATACAAATTATAATGCAAATTATGATGTAAATTATGATGCGAATTTAGTAGACATCACGATAGCACACATCTCATTTAAGGAAGGTCCTTATGGAAAATATATATACTAAGCAAGTGAGTGTCAGTATGTACGTATTTATGTGTGTATATATGTGTATGTTTGATGTATGTGTGTGTGTGTCTGTGTGTTTATCTGTGTATATATATGTATGTGTATGTATGTGTGTATGTATGCATGT